TTTCGGCGGGGCAGGGCGCGGGGGGGGGGCCTCTTCCCAGCGAGCTGAGGTTTTTTGTTTTTTTTTTTTTTTTTTTTTTCCCCTTCTCTCTTTGCTTTTAGGGAGAAGGAAAAAAAAAAACAAAAAAAAAAAAAAAAAACCACGTTTTAGAAATACAAAAGGTGTCCCGTCCGGCCCTCACCTTCCAACCGGCTGAACTGTTGCTGTCTCCCTTATCCTTGAAGTAGGGCACGCTCTTGACCATCCACTCGTAGATCTGGGAGAGGGTGAGCCTCTTCTCGGGGGAGCTCTCGATGGCCTTGGTGATGAGGTCCGCGTAGGACAGGTTACCCCAGGCGTTGCGGCGCGACGAGCTGCTCTTGCGGGGCTGCCCGGCCACGGGGCCCGGCGACAGCGCGGCCACGGCCGGAGGTACCGGTGGCACCGGCGGCGGTCCCGGCGGGTGCAGGCGGCAGCCGGCCTCGGGCGCCGGGAAGTCCCCGCAGCGGCAGGCGGCCGGCTCCGGGGGGGCGGCGGCGGGTGGCAGCGCGAAGTCCTCGCTCTCCTCCACCAGGCAGAGGTTGCTGATGAAGTCGGCGCTCAGAGCCCCGGAGGCGGCGACGGCGACGGCAGCTCCGGCCGCGGCCGCCCCGTCGGGCTGCCCTCCGCAGGACGGCGCGGGGCTGGAGGTGGCCGAGCTGGGCGGGTTGAACTCCGGCCGCGGCAGGGGCCAGGTACACGAGCGGGGTCGCGGCAGCGGCTCGAAGTCAGGGTCGATGTCCACCAGCTGCGGGGCCTCGGCCATGGCGGCGGCGGCGGGGGGCAGCGGGACGACGGGGGGCAGCGGAGCGGCTCAGCACCGCCGCCCCATGCAAGCTCCGAGCGCGGATCTGCGCGGCCCCGGACGGCGCGGCAGCCGACTCCCCTCGCGGCTCTCGACCTCGCGGCTCCGGCCCCGCCGCCCTGCCCCGCTCCTCGCCCTCGGCTGCGGCGGCAGCAGCGACCCGGCCGCCCGGCGCGCACCGACTGCAAAGCCTGCCCCGCCTCCAGCCTTCCTCCTCCTCCTCCTCCTCCCGGCGGGGAGGGCCGGCCCGAGCAGCGCCAATGGCAGAGTGGCGCCGCCCGCCCGCCTCCCGCCGCGGGGCCGCTGCTGCGGGAGGGTGCCGGTGCCCCCGTGCTGTTTGTGGGCGGTTTGTGTGTGTTTGGGGTTTGGGTGTTGTGTTTTGTTTGGGTTTTTTTGTGTGTGTGTTTTTGTGTGTGTGTGTGTGTTTTGCTTTTTTTTTTTTTTTCCAGCGCGAAGCCGCCGCGTCCCGTTGGGGACGAACGCTGTCACGGAGCGGAGCGGAGCCGGGACTGTGCGGGAAAGTCCCCGCACGGGAGCTGCCCTCGGCCCCGACGGCAGCGGAGCGGAGCGGCCCCCGGCGTGCGGCGGAGGCAGCCGCAAAGTTTTCCGTGTTTGAAACCGAGAGGATGCCATCGGCTTTGCCGGGAGAGGCGATTCCAGGGATGAGATCCCTTCTAACGCAGCCGATTTTTTTTTAACAAGATGTGCCTCGTTTTCCGTAATGCTTTAACAACCCATTGTAGCCTTAGCTTCGAAACCCCCAGCGAGCCCAGCGCTGGGAGCTGCCCGTCCCGCGGCTGTCCCGTCGGGCCGTGGGCTGCTCCCGCTCCCCTGAGAGTGTCGGAGTTACTTAAATGTAGCTCATTGCTCCTAGAAAAATATGCTCCTACAATATTAAGGAGAAGAGTAGAGTAGGAGACTGGATTTAGGCCCACAGCGTAACAAATAATACCTCTACGTATGTAAGCGGGTAGGAACTGCTGGCACTGAACGCTCTGCTGCTGCCGTGATCGTTCTCCAGCACGCGAAAGGCGATCGCTGTGTGCTGCTGCCAGTCGCACCCCGGAGTCCCTTTGCTTTAAGTCTCTTCTGCGCTTTCCAAAGCCTGCTGAGGACTCAGCCCGCAGCTCTGTATCGTTTCGCCCATAGATATTTTAAAAGATAATATTTTTGCGTCCATTTAAAGAAAAAGAAAAGCGAAATAGTTCCTGCTCACCCTCCCAGTGCCACGTCCCAGCCCCGGGGCCAGCGTCTGCCCGCGCTCCCCAGCACAGCTCAGAACAGCGGGGTTGTGCGAGATGGGATGCGAATAGGCGCACAGGGGGGAGCTGAGGCAAAAGGGCAGCCCATGAATAACCGAACCCTTTCCTTGTACTTTTCTGGTGCCTGAAATAAAAGTCAAAGAGGCAGGCCGGCACCCATCGTGCTGGAGGAAATGCATTTACTTCCAGTCTTTGCTGCTTTTAGTTTTTTCATAAAATCTCTGTTCTCTCAGACCTCTGTTGTCACACACATCTCTCCTTCCATATGAGCTGTGCCCAGCAGGACGAGGGCTGCAGAGGACTCCCGGTCAGCACCAGCACATCCCCAGTTCTGCCCGTGTGGTTGTGCAGGTGGGCATCTCTGAGGTTGCGTGTGCCCAAACACCACCGAGGACCCTCGGGAGATGCTGCCACAAACAAAATGCTCCATTCAGCTGCTGGAGCAGAGTTACTCCTTCCCAAACAGCTCAGCACGCTGCTGGCTCCGTGCAAGACATGTTACCCCATCTATGAATGACAGCGTTAAGTTTATCTCATCTCCCACAATGCCTAAATGCTGATGGATGCTCCACAATTCATTCTCTACTCCCACAGCCCTCCTCCCACACTCCACCTTTCCATTTCTCTCCTCCTACTCCTGCTCCCATTTTCTACTCCTCTACAATGCATTTTCTCCTCTCATCGTTTGCATCCACGTGTGTTTTTCCAAATGAAAGACCCGAAGATTGCCTTTTATCTTCAGTGGAAAATAGCAGAGCCTCTTATTCATATGCCGGGTTTGAGACAGCCAAAATAAAGGATCTGCTCTGCCTTTTTACTACTGTATGTCTAATTCACTTTCAGAGGTTTTGATCACGTTCAGCAGGGGATTGCATGAAGTTGCAGGCAGTGCTGTTCTGTGCAGAGCTCCTTTTGCTGTGCATGTGTGCACGGTGAGCAAACACACGTGTAACACAGCAGTAAGCCATGATGAAGGATCAGTTTTGTGCCAGGTATGACAGAAGCTGTTGTGCTGGGAGGAAGATGACTGCAGATGAAGACTGGGGGAGATCAGCACCCCTGTTTTCTTCCCTCCTCTCTCAGTGGGTTCTGACTTTACAGAACGTTTGATTGCATATGGGAAATGAATGAGGCCATTACCTCTCATGTTATCACTAGCTACCTATACTTCTAAATTGTGTTATTTGAAGGAATCAGAATTTAATTTTTTTGTCTAAGATGAAAGTACTTGGATGTTTTTCCTGATGAAGAATGAAGAATAGAAATAATAATATGCTGTTATTGGCTTGTGTGTTTAATGTGGCTCAGATTCCCACCTAGCATGGTTAATAGGAGTCGGACAAAATCATATTCCCTGAATAAGTCCCAGTGAGACATACATAGAATCATAAAACCATAGAATCATAGATGGCCCATGTTGGAAGGGACCTCAAGAATCATCAAGCTCCAACTCCCCCTGCTGCAGGCAGGGCCACCAATCTCCATTTTATACCAGACCAGGCTGCCCAGGGCCCCATCCAACCTGGCCTTGAATACCTCCAGGGATGGGGGGCATCAATAACCTTTCTGGGCAGCCTGTTCCAGCACCTCACCACTCTCATAGTAAAGAATTTCCCCTGACATCAAACCTAAATCTTCCCTTCCTCAACTTAAAACCATTCCCTCTCGTTCTGCTGTTATCTACCCTTTCAAATAGTTGGCTCCTCTCCTGTTTGTAGGCTCCCTTTAAGTACTGGAAGGCTGCAGTGAGGTCTTTCACAGCCTTCTCTTCTCCAGGCTGAAAAAGCCCAGCTCCCTCAGCCTGTCTCCATAAGGGAGGTGCTCCAGCCCCCTGATCATCTTCATGCCCCAGCTCTGGACCCTCTCCAACGGCTCTCTGTCTTGCTTGTACTGGGGGCTCCACACTTGGACGCAGTACTGCGGATGGGGACTCATGAGGGCGGAGAAGAGAGGGACGATTATTGGGACCCACAAGTTGCCATCACACTCCCCAAGCAGAAGAGGAAGATGAGCCAAAGGAAATCCATAGCACAGCCCCTTATCTTAGGTAATCTGTCCAGGCTGAGCCCCAGCATTTCACCATGTCCAGCTCACACCCACATGCAGCCATGCCGAGGTGAAAGACTGAAGTGCAGCGTGCCCAAGAAGTGATCCTCACTGGGATCAATACAATAAATACCAAAGGTAGTGCCCCAGCAGCTCTATCTGCTCCCACTGTGTCATGTGCAAGCACCGAGCATGATGTAAAAACAGAAGGCAAGAGTTTATCGGGTTTCAGATTCAGCTGAATCACCCGACCCACCCCTATGCAAAGGCCAATGTGCCTGGAAGTAAACACAGTTCGAGCAGCACGTATGTTTTCCAGGGTGTTGGGTTTCTGTTTTGTCGTAAATACGATCCATTACAATATTCTCCCACATCCTCCAGTCAGCGGCTCGGCGCTTTCAGGTGCCTTTCTCGGTGGTTGTTTTCCTTTCTGTATCGCTTGAGGAAAAACTGACTGGCTCCGTCTGATAGCTTTTGTATATTAAATAATTTGATTGTGTTTGAGCAACAAACTAAAAACAGGATGTTTGACAGTTACGGTGTAATGCAGTGGTTTCTCTTGAACCCGCGCGAGGGAAAATTCATGGCGCAGCACAGCGCGGTGCCTGACAACCAGAAGCATAGAGCTGCTTCATCTCCTTCCCCTTTATTTCCCCAGAACAGTGATAGCTACCTGTCATCACCGAGAAGAATCACGTACACCCAAAACGGGCACAGAGGCGGTGGCACAAGGAAGGCTCACTTTTAAAAACAAACATATTTCCCCGTTGTTTGAATTCGTGCTTGAAAAGCATATTTATATCTGCGTAAAAATGCATTTGCATACAAATGAGCGCATTATGCATACACTACACATATGCACGGTATCATTATATACATTCTACTCTAGATTTATATAGATGGAGACGTGGTTAGGCAATAATAGCAAGGCAGTGTTTTGACATATATGTATGTATTCCTACTCTGCTGGTAAGTAAGGCATTAAAGAAGGCGGTGTTGGGACAGGATGCTCAGTAGGTAAGGTACATCCCACGCATGGATATGCTTATGGTAGGGCCACACCAGAAATGCAGCGAGGCCAAGGGGCTGCACCAGAAGGAAGACGTCCCAGCTGTACTCTCCTGCTGCCATACCCGGTAGCTCTGTGCTTCTGTTTACCTCTCTGTAAAATGGGTATAAGTAATGCTTGTCTGCTGGGACCGTGTTCATTAACAGTTTAAACACAGCCCTGCTCTGTGAGGAGGCTGGTTTCAAACCAGGTAGGTGCCAGCCTAGGATCTTCCTAAGAACAGAAGCGTGCTTTGTAGCTGCATGGAAGCAGGTAAGAAGAGCCACCAGCAGTTGCAATTTTGCATTTGCCAAGCTCTGAAGACTGAACCTCGTCTAGGATCAGATGGAAGTAACCTCATTTCCATAGTCTCTGAGCTTACCCACGGTGCTCTCAGCAAAGCCAAGGGTCAGCCTTTACTTCTGAGGAAACGAGGAGGAAGCCAGGGACTCTGGGCAAGGTGAGGGGTTGGGCAGACAGCTGCTCTCCCGTGACCCACAGAATGAAATGCCAAGGCCCCACTGCACCCCTTGCTAGTACTTTGCCTAGGAGCACTCAGGAGAGATGATGGCTACCGATGGCTACATTCAAACATGGACTTGGGAGTCAAAAGAAAAACAAATTATATGTAATTCCTTAATGTACGTGGGTTTGTGAACAATTTGAGCCTTGTGCGGTTTGGTTGCAAAATGGCAACATACATTTGAAATCTGGTGCAGAAAAGCAGGACAGATTGTTGTTTTTCTACATCTGCCAAATGTGTTTTCCTTTCAGTCGATATCTTCCTATACTTTTTTTTTTTTCAGTGAAACCTTTCTCACTACTTTTTGTTTCACTCTTGCTTATTATCTTAGTCTTGGTAAAACCTCTACAGAATACTGAAAATCCACTCTCAAAACTAGCAAGAAACGCGCTTTTGTCACAAAACCCAACAACAGTCTTCTCTCTGTGCATGAAACTTACTGCAAATTAAGACGGTAGACCCCTGTAACAGAAGACAAGAAAGGTAGCTCTGGATGCTGGAAGTGCTATGTTAAGGCTTCAGTACAGCCAGTCAGAGCTGCCGTCACCACTGCTCCTGAACAAGTCTTTTCAGCCCCTCGTGATGTCAGGAGGCACTATTCAGGCAGATAACAGCAATCTGCATATCTCTGGATTCTCCTTAACCTCCATAAATAGGCACTTTCTTTGCTGCTTCATCATGTGAATCTAATGAGTTTGAGTTTCTTCATATTCAGACTAAATCAGGAGTGCAAAAACAGACAACAGTCTGACCTTATATAGACCCTTTCTCCTCAGTGTCCCCGTAAGCAGTGGATTACCCATGATGTAAAGCCTCCTTGAAACCCGAAGCCCAGCAGAGCAGCAGGCAACCCGCTCAGCCCATCCCTGAGGTTTTGTGCCTCAGCCCATCAAAAAGCAAGGAAGGGACTCATCCTTTCCAGAGGAAGCAGCCCCAGGCTAAGAGATGACTGAGTTCATCTGGGTTTACCTCCTTGGAGACTGAATGATGGGCAATATACCTCTTTATACATCTTATCATAGAATCATTCCGGTTGGGTTAAGACTACTGAGATCATCTATTCTAGTCATCAACCCATCACCCATGTCAATTAAACCATGCTCCTCAAATGTCACCCATGTTATCTTACAGTGTTGGCTCCTGCTTCAATCAGATCTCTCAAAGCACTGATTTTAACCAGTGCTGATCACTTGGAAGCTGGAGAAAGAGCAAAGGTGATGTTCAGTCATCCTATGGAGGTCACTGTGAAGGATGGAAGGGTGGCTCTGGGGATAACTGCTGAGATAAGAAAAGGAGAAGGACTTAGAAGACCAAAAATACACCATCCCATTCCTCAAAAATGATCAAAGTCTGCAAGTAGAGATCATGCAACTTACCGGGAGCACAATGAATTTCGTAGCAGCTGACTGATCATCACAAATTGTAGTTTCCAGTGATCATCCAGTATTTCTGACCCACCAAAACACTTCCCATTTTTGTTCATTCATTCTTCTGACAGATCTTCAGGAATGCACCTCCATTCTACTGCAGCTTGGCAGCATCCAGTGAGTTTGCATTAGAATCTATCCCCTCGAATCTTATTTCTCCAGGTACAGGAAAGTACTCTGCAGCCTGACACAACCCAGAGGAAAGTCCCAAAAGTGCCTTCAGGAGGAGCTGCCCAGATCGCCTCATCCTCACTTCAGCTTTCAGCATGAACTGGTTGCTGTGAAAGAAAGAAAGGTAAGAAAGGAGACTCGGCAGTCGCTGGTGCTGTGAAAGCAGTGGCCAGAGCAGTTCAGCAGCCAGATGGGTGGCTTGCAAAACATCAGTTGTGGAGCACTGGCACACTGATTTCACAACCCTTAATCCCAAACCCCAGTGTTGCAGCACGAGTAGCAGTGACTCCTTCATGATCAAACAGAATTTTCCTACAGTGGTCAGAGAAAAACATCTATCTGACAAACTTCTCTGAAGTCGTGCAAACGGGCCTTCAAAAACATCTACGTCAATGGATTCTGTCTTTGATATTTTAAGCGAATTCATGTGCCAATGTCAGATGAAATCAGCACATCTCTTCCTCAGTGAGGTTACTGTCTTGCTGCCAGATTGCGTCTTGTGCAGCAGCATCGGAGCCAGCCAACGAGGTCTGCAGCTGAGCAAGGAAGTGGTAAGTGCCATGGGGGTAAATGCAAGGTCAAGGACGTGCCAAAGGTAAAAATGCTAAGCAGAGAAGTGACAAGCATCCAGAAGGGATTTTTTCACAAGCATGCTGGCATGCTGTCTCACACAGCTTGTGACGCTCCCGTAGATTTCAAGCAGTCGCAGTCTGTGACAAATATTTTGAGAGTGCTTCGCAGGAATCGAAGCTGCGAGATGTTGAATCCTCAGTGGAGGAGCCAAGCACCAAAAGTGGTGAGTGAACTTCTTCCTCTGCAGACTGCATCACAGAACGACAGCTTCCTCATTTGCAGAAGCTTTTACACATCTTGTCATAGGCGACACTGCTATAAAAAAAGTACATGGAAAACTTGCAGGACTTGAGTGTCGTATCTTTGAATCCATCTGGGGGCAGGGAAGATGGAAGGCAGAATTACTGAAGTGGCAGAAATGACCCAAGAATGCTGCAGAATGCCCACATTGGGCATCGTCTTGTTGCAGGCACCATGAGCAGCCTGGCAGCTGCTGCGCTCAGCACGGTAGCAGCGCCGTATTGCTGCCTCGTAGATGATTCACGAGGGCTTGGTGAGGGAAAGAGGCAATTCGCAACAGGAATTTCTTCTAATGAAGCAAGTTTAGTTAGAAACCAAAAGAACAATCCAGGCCATTGGAAACAATTCAGGAGTACAATTTCCCTTCTGAAAAGACAGCTGCTTTCCTTAGCCCTATCACTGTAGGCACAGCAAGAACATGGGAGAAAAGCTCTATTTCTCAACATAGCGCATGTGGCTCACACGGTCTTTGCTCACCTTCACTGTGGGAAAATGGAGTTAATTAACTCATTATGGCAGTAAAACGGGCCTTTGCTGCCTTATAACAACATCCCCAGGCAGAGGGGAAAGTACCTGCAATCTTCACAGTCATGAAGTGGAAGAGTGGCTTTCAAGCCATTTTTGAGCTGGCTGAGTCTTCTGGGGAGATGGGCACTGAGGAGCCCGCAAGCTGTTCCATTCAGCAGTTCAGTGTAGGCAAGGTTCACCAGCCATGACTCAGGCATCTGAAACTTAGTGTTTAGTTCCCTACTAATCACCTTCAGCTCCATTTGTACTTGAGGAAGAATAACCAGCAGAGAAAATTCACTTAACCAAATCCAGAAGACCCAAAGGATACCCTGATGGTGCCTCTGTCTGTTTTGACTTGAAGGGAGCACAAAGAAAAGCTGGATCTGACCTGGACATGAATTACCTTCAAAACTCCACTGTTGGATGCAAAAATTACCAAAATGTTATTTGACTAAAAATAGGTGCAGCTGCTTCAATAGCCAGTGATTTTTCTCCAAGGGCAATCCCAGTTCTCTCCATCTACACAAAATCAGATATCAGAGCACATCAAGGAGAATGTTGGTAAGCCTTGGCTCTGGCTCAAATTTGACAGCCACACAACTGCCAGGACAATGATCAAGAAAGATCTTCCTCAAAGCATTATTAAAAAAAAAAATTAACTGCCTTCACAGTCGTCAGTCAACTGGCATTTCTTTAAAGGCCTGTTGAATGCTGAATCCAGCCTATATCAGTTGATAGTTTTGGGGCAACTTCTATGCTTGAAGGCAACATGTTGGGTAGTGCCATCACCTCAGTTTCAGGTGAAAAGCCTTCACATATTGCTAAGTTTTGAGATGATTTGCTGGCATCCAACAGCAATGAAGACAGAGAGAGCATTTGCTTTGTACAGGGGAAGCATTCCAGGGAAGAAATGGCCCTTTCAGTATCTTAAGGGGGCCTACAAGAAAGCTGGGGAGAGACTTTTTATTAGGGAATTCAATGGTAGGACAAGTCTTTAATTAAAAGGGGATAGAGATTCAGACTAGACATTGGGAAGAAATTCATCACCATGAGGGTAATGAAGCACTGGCACAGGCTGCCCAGAGAAGCTGTGGGTGCCTCATTCCCACAGGAGTTAATGGCCAGAATGGATGGGGCCCTGAGCAACCAGGTACAGTGAGAGGTGTCTCTGCCAATTGCAGGGGACTTGGAACTGGATGGTTGTAAAAGCCCCTTCCAACCCATGCCATTCCATAATTCTGTGAAATCAAAACCACGCCAAATACAAGACCATTCTTTAACCAAGTAGATCTTTAGCTTCGACTACAAACCATCTTCTTTTCTGTAAAATAAATTCACAGCTAAACTTAAAATTGCATGTTTGGTAGTGCTATGTAATAACAGTATAGATGGTATTAACACAAGACACTATTATTTAAAAGCACCTGTGCATGCTGCTGTGGCAAAAGCTATGCTAATTAGAAACCTGCAAATATTGTTCAACCTCTGCTATTAATTTTACTTCAAAATACCATACCACTGTAACAGCCTTAATAGTGACTTAAAAACAGAAGCACGAACCTTGACTCTGGTGTTCCTGGAAAGAGTGAGAAGATTGTAGTAATTTAGTCATCAGTAATAAATTATTAATCGTTCAACCTCTGCTACTAAATTTACTTTGAAATGCCATGTCAGTGTGGTAAGCCTAACAGCAACCTAAAAATAAAGGAGCTGACCTGAAAGTGGATTGATGTCAGTGGAAAGGGAGAGAAGACATTGATTTTAAAGTGTGATCCTCCTGCATAGGTTATAGTTAGAGTCACTGGTGGCCTTAGGAGACCATACTGCTCTTGCCTGGAAGAGCTGCAGATGCAGCCAGCTGGTGCCTCCGTCTCTACAGAGTAAAGTAGGTTTTTCTCCCTCTCGAATTGCTCCTTTAACCTGTTATTATAATGATGATTAATCTACATCAGAAGCTCTGTCACAGCGCTCCCCTTACCTACCAGCTGAGAATGGTGATTTCTTCCAGCCACAGGACAAAAAACGGCCATGCAGCCAGTGGTGAGGAGTGAGAGCAACAGGCCGAGAGGGAATCTCACCCAGAAGGAAACAGAACCAAAGTATCCCAGGGATGTACTGCTCTGATGGCTGTGAGAGGATTGCTTTTGTCCTCTCATGAAGACAGGAAGAAGTGCTTTGAAGTATTGTGCACAGAAAGGGGAAGCAGACTGAGGATTCGGGGAGACACCTGCGAGAAGCACCAAAAATGAACTTAAGGAAACTGTAAGAGATGAGCTGAAGGATGGAAATAAGCGCACATGCTAGCAGAGTCTGCCTCTTCAAAGAGCTATTTCATTTAAAAGCAGCAACATTTTTTTTTCAAGAATCTTCACACTGAGAACTAGAGCATGCAGAAACTGCACAGTCAAAAAGAGAAAGATTCAATAGGAGAAAGGGAGGCTTTTCAGAAGATGGCTATGCTTAATGCCTGAAGCACCACCTTGACTATAGCTGACCATCACTAGAAGCTGATTCACCAGGAGGCAGCAGGAAAGATTTTGAAGCACAAACTCAGTTTTGCAGAACACAGCTTCTCGTGATCAGCTGAGTTAGAGGATCGTTCTGGTAGAGAATATTCATAAACTTAAATAGAAAGGGAGAACACAACCCCAAGCATGCAAACAGTTATACTGTTTGTGGACATGGAGGAGTGATGTGAGGGTCAGACATCATGATTCCCATAGAGAACCTATGGGACAAGGGCTCAGAGGAATAAGAACAAGCAAGTCAGGAAGTCTCTGTCATGAAGTCAGGATGAATATCTCTGGCATGAAGGGATGAATATCTTCTGCAAGCCCATTCCCCCAGCTGGGTAACACCTCCTGACTGTAAAAATATGGAATTCCTACAAACATTATGAAAAATGAAGCAAAAATATTTGATGACAACACATGGACTGAAATTCTGGCATACACAGAGCTGTGTGCATGCTTGTAGGGATGCGCCATGGACTCACAAAAGCATTAGGTGCTGGTGGAGGTGGTCTTGATTGCTTTCAGGTCAATATTAAATCTGAGGAAACATATGTGGCTGTTCCATATTTACAGAAGGTCTTTTGCCACACAGAAACACTCCAGCTTGAAACAGCTCCAGCACACATCATCCTGCTAGTTCAGCTCCAAAACAGTAACAGATACAGGTAGATCTCCCCTCACTAGTTTCTTCCTCATCAAGTATTTGCTCATTTATCGTTATTTAAAAAAAAAGATGCAATTATCAGTTCAGCTGATCAACTTCTACACCACCAGCAGCACCACCAGCAGCATCACCAGCAGGAGGGCTTCTGGTGACAGATGGAACTGAAACTGGCAGGGAATGTGAAAAACAATAGGAAGGGATTCTACAGGTACATTAGTCACAAAATAGAGTCCAAGGAGAGTATATCCCCTCTGGTAAATGAGAAGGGAGAGCTGGCAACAACAGGCATGGAGAAGGCTGAGGTCCTCAAAGGGTTCTTTGACTCAAACAGAAGCGTTCATGAACAGGACAGCACCCTGGGCAGACTGATCTAGTGGGTGTACACCTTGTCCACAGAAAGGAAGTTGGAAATAGATGACCCTTAAGGGACCTTCCAACCCAAGTCATTCTATGGTTCCATGACTTTTGGCCAGAGCCACAGGAGTGATGCTGCAGCAGATGGGACCAGAGGGAGAGCAGGGTGAACTATCCCACAGCAGAGCCAGCCACCCATATGGACACACTCCACTGAATCACATTTACCTCATTACTCTTGCTGAGAAGCAACTGCATCAAGAAGCACCACTTTGCAGCAGCATCCTTCATGGAGACGTGCTGCACTGGACCCAGTCCTCTCTGGCCTTTGAGAGATGCTCTTACTGCATCGGGATATGGGAGCATCCTAACAAAGGCACTAATAATTCTTCCTGGCTGCGCAGCTGTGAGACCCCACTGTGATACTGCTGCTTGCCATGCTCCAGATGCAATTTACCATGACACAGCAGCTGGAGGAGGTGGCAACAGGCAGCTCAGAGGGTGGGCAAATTTTGTGGAGCACAGGTTTTCTTGCACTGAGCACCCTCATCCTGTGCAGAGGAGAGCTGCACAGTGCTCTCTTGCTACAAGGATACTGATGGGCTGAGTTAACCTCCTTTCTAAGAAGAAAAGAAAATATAGAATTATAGAATCCCAGAATGGCCTGGGTTGAAAATGACCACAGCGCTCATCCAGTTTCAACCCCCTGCTATGTGCAGGGTTGCCAACCAGCAGACCAGGCTGCCCAGAGCCACATCCAGCCTGGCCTTGAATGCCTCCAGGGATGGGGCATCCACAGCCTCCTTGGGCAACCTGTTCCAGTGCATCACCACCCTCTGTGTGAAAAACTTCCTCCTAATATCTAACCTAAACCTCCCCTGCATCAGTTTAAAACCATTCCCCTTTGTCCAATCACTATCCACCTTCGTAAACAGCCGTCCCCCCTCCTGTTTATATGCTCCCATCAAGTACTGAAAGGCCACAATGAGGTCTCCCTGGAGCCTTCTAATGTGAGTTGGGGATAGATTCTAAAAAAACTTGTATTCACTGAACAATAACGCAATGGCCCTCAGGCTTGTGCAGAGACATCTACGCTCATGCCTCCCTCAACACTCATCCATCCCCTAGGGGAGATGCTCTGTTCCATCTTCTGTGCACAACCCACCAGCTCTGTCAGCCTCTCCTGGCTCCTAAGAAGATGAATATTACAGGTTATGCTTTATGGGAGCTTCCTCAGATGCTATCAGCCACAAATGCACCCCAGCAGCATGCGCTTCCCTCTGCTCCCACTCAGCACTGGCTGATGGCGGAACTTTGGCACCTCATTGCTCCTGTCTGCAGTTCCACGCCAGTAGGCTCTGTCCTGCCTCCTGAAACTTACTCTGGGGTTTGGTTCTCACCTTCTCCCAGCAAAGAGAAAGCAGCCTCAGGAAATGATGTATGGGAGACCCATGGTTTTATGGCTCCTGTACTCCATGTGAAATAAACACTGAGGTGGAAGAACAAGTAAATCATCACGGACAAGAAAGAACAATCCTTTGCTCGCAAAGGATTATAGGAGGTTACTGAAATACCAAACAGATGCCATCAGAGGAACTTTAAGAGCCTCAAAATGCTTTAGTGAAGTATTCAAGAAAAGTTAAATATACACTGGATCACTTTATTCACAACTCGGGTAGGAAGGAATAGCTCCTTGGCTGTGCACAGCAATAAGAACACCAGCAGTTAGGCGCAGGAAGTTAAGAAGAATATCACAGACATATTACATGTGAAGAGATAAGTTAGCTGCTCTGACAGCAGTTTTACCTGAGTCTGACAGACTTTACCTGAGTCGGGGTGTGACTGGTATACAAGGGACAGCTTCTAGAATCATAGAATTGCTCAGGTAGGAAAAGACCTTAAAGATCATCGAGTCCAACCACAAGCTGACCATACTACCCTGACTAACAACCCTCTGCTAAATCATG